TTGTTTGGTATTCAGGAAAGTCGCAACTACAGCTGGAGATATTTATATAGCGTTTTTAATTTCCCCAGCTTGTGTTTGTGGGGGATTTGTGATCAGCTACTACACATATATATAGCTAGTGGATTAAGTAGAAATTAATTGACATAGGAACTAGGAAATCTTTTGAAATATCATATCAAATATGTTATATATACTATTAAATTGTGTTATATGTGTTTATGTTATATATACTGTTAAAATATGTTATATGTGCTGGTAGGATGTGGTTCGAATGAAAACCGATCGATAACGCGAAAATAGTGACAAGTGTTGTATATTTCATTATTTTGTTACATGCATTAATACGATTAATCAAATTTAGTGATTTTTTTAATCAGGGTTATTTTATTAAAATAGTAACATAATTTGTAACAGTATATATACAAAATGATAGCAGTAATATTAATAAAATATTCTCATACACAATTAAAAATATTATCAAATATATTTCTCATGATTCTCTTACCAGAATTAGTTTTTATTCAAATCAATCTCTTGTGATTTATGGAGCAATATGTGAGGTGATCATATTATTAAAATTATATTAAATTGTATTTAATGCAGTTTTAAGGGTTTCTAGTTTCCAGTCCGCAAAAATAATTTAATTCTTCATTCGATGCTTGCTTTGGTTTTAGGATTTTAAAATGTTATTTTTTTTTCTAAGTTGCTAGTAGAGTTTATTGTTAGTATAGTTGGTAGGAGCATGTTTAAAAAATTATTTTTCTAGAAAAATGGACTAAGGGTAAAGAAACGCACTTTTAGAGATTAAATTTTAAAATCAAATAAATGTCAATAATACTAATTTTTCAAAATACTACGTCAACATACCAATAGCATAATATATCATGGCCGGGAAGAGAAACAAAGATTAAATTTTTTTTTTTAAAAAAAAAAGGATTAAAATTAAAATCTAACAGTTTGGATAATTAAAACTAGAAGTCGGCAAGAACCTAAAAAATATTTTTTTACGTTCATAGTAGATCCTATCCCTGTAATCTATATGTATACACATTACACACAAAGAAATCACACCCTAACTTTATTTATGTAAGATTTCAACAATAATTTGTAGTTAAATAATATTTATAGAACGGAATATTAATTTAAATTAAATTGTGGTATAATAATATTAATATAGCTACTCCATTTATTAACAATCACACGTCACTTAGTGAAGATAATATATGTCTGGTATAAATGTTGTTACTGTTAACCTTTGAATTGGTGAGCCAACACTATTGGTGTGAAGTGTTGAGATTTTATTGTTGCAACTAAATATATCACTATTGGAGTATTTCATGACGTATAAAGATGAGTGCTTCAATGAAACAAATTTGGGGAATCATTCATTTCTTATAACCAACTTTTTAGNATTTTTGATATCCTGAATTTACTCTTAAAAATAATTTTGAAATTTCAAGATTTGTATCACAAATCCAAATTTCAAGATTTTTTTGCTGTTCGAGTTAGATTTCATTTATTGCTATGTGTCTTTTGGACCTCATTTATTGTAGTTACCTACCAACATCAAAAGCCTCACTCCCCAAACACAAAAAAAATTGAGTTTCCTATTTTATTAAAAAAAATTAATTTTGACAGCAACACAATCAGTCTATTTTTATTAAATCAGTCACCTTTTAAATATATAGAATTTTTTGTTTCAGAAAAGATGTGTTAGTTACATTTAGATATACATCGGGCTGTCTTTATTTGCAATCTGCCATTACTCACGAGTTCCATAATTTCATTCTTCATGATTTAGTCATATATGCCATCATAACTTTTCCCTTTCAGTTACTACATAAATACATAAGAGAGCAACAAATTGATAATCCAAGTTGGAACATATTTTTCTACACAAATTCTTGACTGTGAGGCAGTCTAATGGTTAAAACGGTCTACTCGTCATACTTTTTGAACAAATTTGTATACTTATACTGAGAAATATCATATTTTTTGTTTATATTATTTTCACTTATTTATAAAAGTATGTATATATGTTGAAAAAAAAATATGATTGTGTAACTAGTATAATACTGAGAAATATCAGTATATATGTATATACTGAGAAACTAGTATAATAATTATATGTGTATAGTATTTTTGACAACTTTTTATTTAATTATATTATATAGTATATTTTATAAAATATATTTTGTAATATATGCATAAGTACCGTATAAATAAAAATAAATATAATAATATTTTACGATCTCGTCTAAAACTATATGCAATGCAACACTAGGATAGAGATTGCTATAGTGTTGTGCTAGATGTGGCGCAACACTGTAGCAACGCTAGATTTTTTTAAATGTATTTTAATGCAATATTAATGATAAGTTTTTGTATAATGTATATTAATAAATGTATTTCTATGGTAAATAATTTTTTGCAATGCATTTTTTATACTAAATAATTTTGTACTTTTTATTTATTAATGTATTTTTCATATTAATTTATTTGAAATAAAAATAAATTAAACATATTTTTATTATTGGGGTAATAAACATTTATATAAGATTATATATATATATATACCAAACTGTTTGAAATAAAAATGAATACAAAAATAATATATATGATGTAGAGTAAAATATAGAGCAAAGGGCTAGAGACGAGACTTGATTTTTATTTCACTCTACTCTATAGTAAGAATAAACTCTACGCTAGAGTAGAATTAAGAACTGAAAATTATTTATTATTGTTGTAGCCTGAGGAGCAGCGCCTTGTATACAACTAGAAAAAATCATTTTAACTTTATCTGCCTTAGCTATTTATAAATCTCTGACCCATTTAATCCACATTTGATTTCCCAAGTGGTGAACATTTATTGTGGCCATATATAATCAAATTAAATATTAGGTAGCTTATGAAATACTATATGCTTTGACAATGATTTTCCGTGGTGAATGGCTCACACTCCAAGAACGATGTTTTTGAATTAGCTGGTCAAAGTAATTGAATAATTAGCTAGTCCAAGACAATGATTCAACCCATACTTAGAATCACTTCAAACGATATGCAACTTTTTAGATCAATTGTAGCTATGTAAATATCACAAATTTAACTAATTCAGTAATTAAGATAATGTCACACTCTTATTAATTGTATTGATTCTTGAAAAGATTTATTTATTTTTAATGAAAATTATTTGTTATAACCTGTTAAACTAGCTAATGATGTATCATCATATAGTTAGTTTATGATTGATACTTTAATTTATTAGTAGAATTATTATTGTTTGAACCTTGAAGTATAAAAGAGAGAAAAGGCAATTGTAAATTGATTCATGGTCTATTAGATTATTAATTAAGATACTAGTCAATTTTGGCAGTCTTTTTTGGTCAATGGCTCATTAATTGCCAATTTATCCATCTCCCGTCTGCAAACTCCTTGAAAATTGAAATGCTAAAAATATTTCAATGTCAACTTTAATTCAGGCAGTTATAAACTTCATTTATATGTAAACCAAATTCATTTCCTTTCCCCAGCAACAATACAAGGAAAAAAAACTAATTGCATAAATGTAAATGGACTATTTTATTTATTTTTATCAAATATATGAATCATAACATGCTCATCTGTGATTTTGTGGGTACCTCACATTTTACATGAATGCCTAAGATTTTCAACTTAATTATATTGTAGTTAAGATTATTACACCTATTATTATTCACATTTTCTAGATGTTTATAATGTAATTTTTTTTATTTGTCCAATCATATTGCAAT